AGTCTCCTGATAGTTTCCCTTGCAAATAGCCTCAGAGTTAAGAATGGCACAATTGCAGCCCTTCCAGCACAGCATGAGTTTATGGAAGGCTTTGATGTTTCTCTTGGTTTTTCCCTTTTCCTCTTTCTATTTTTCTTATTTTTTTTTTAAGTTTGAAGTCTCACTTGTCACATGTAGTTAGGAGTTGGGCTGCCTGGAAGTCTCCCTTCAGACAGTTCCTAGGTTAGTGCTGGCACCTTGAATCTGTCCACTGGAAGCTCTGAGCTGCTGCAGGGAGAATGGGTCTGTGCTGCAGAGAAATGGCTTGGTGTCCATTTAAGGTGAAAACCAAGGTGGCCTGCCTCTGGAGGGGAAAACTCTGCTTTACCCCAAGCATTGGCTGTGGTTTTCCTTGTGCTGGCACTGCTGGCTTTGCCACTAGTCACATGTCAGCATCCAGCTGACAGCTTAGGAAAGTGGCTGTAGCTTTAGCCTCTCCATGGCCACAGGCTCCCACAGCAGTGTGGGAGGTGTGCTGGCACTGCAGAGCTGAGAGAATCCAAGCAGTTCTGTCTTGCCAGGGAGAGGGGAAAAGAGCAGATAGGCCTGTAAAAGGTATTTTCTGAGCAAATAAGCCAGCTAAGCACATTTCTGTGAGCCTTCTCTCTTTCAAAATGGAACTATGCCATTTGTATAGGATTTGAAAACTATTTTTTGATAACAATAGTATGTGGTGCTTCTGAGAGTGAGGTTTTTGTTTTCAGTTTTATACAGGTACCTGACGTACCTTGAATGAAGGAGGGAAGTAGCCCCCTGTCTCAGTTGCCAGCACTCCTGGTCCCAGGGAGGCTAAGCCACCCTCCCTGCTCTCCCTCTATGGAGTCACTGCTGCTGTAACAATGTCTGGGTACTGGCTCAAGAGAGTGGAGGTGTGGGAGGCCTTGGGAGGTGATTTCATACTTTTGCAGAGACCAGAAGAGTTTGGCTGTCCAGGTGCCCAGGAGCTCCAAGAGATGCACTGTGTTAACCACCCTGAGAACCATGTGCCTGTGGAGGAGCATGAAGTTACAGTTCAGGTACAGTTAGCACTTGGACGTGGAGGTCATTTTACCAGCATGGTGCCTGTTTTGTAGGGTTTTGCCTTCATTATGGTTTGGTTTGGATAATTTTCCTTTTCATATGTATTGTGAGGCTCACTTAGCTTGTTTCCCAGTAAATGAAAGTAAAATCCTTTGTCTAGTTAAAGTAGATGTGACTGTGCAGAGCATGAGTGCACAAGAGCAGGGGTGACGGTTTCTTGTTCTATCTGGCATCACACAAAAAGTCAGCAGTAGCAGATATTTTTTGCTTTTCTACTAGATTGTGAGAGATGCAAGATGATTTTTGCTCAGACTTCTACATTTCATTTTTTTTTACCTACAGTGCAATTTTGTTTTCAGAAACAAGAGGAGTGATGTAGTTGGTTTTACATGCAGCTTCACTGAAGTATAAAGCAATGAAACATGTGGTCTAACATACCTAGACACCACTTTACACTTCTTTTTTTAATGGGAGTGTCATTAGTGACTTTAATATGTAATTCACAGTAAGAGGTAGGTTATGGTATATTTATCATCATCCTAATGAGTTATCACCTGGAATGCAGGCACTTGGGAAGTATTTATGTGTAATTTTAAGAGTTTAGGTATCTGGATGTGAAGGGTGGGACTCTGAAACATAATGGCACTGAGAGGAAACGAGAGAAACTTGTGTTGCTTCCAGGTCAGGTACGGCTGCAACTTGCTGCTGTGTTACTGCTCAGACAGAGGACACATTCAATTGGAGAGTTGCATTGTATTGCAAACCTAATTAAGGAAATAAGGTTTCACACAGATGCCGTGCTTTGCTGAGGATCCCCTGTGTGTGTGTGAGGCTGCAGCAGAGCAGAGCTGGCACTTGCAGTGGCAGGGTGTGCTCCCAGGTAGAATACATCACGACTCTGCAGTTTGTGTGCAGCCGAGCTAATTGGCAGAGGCTTCACTTGACTGTGAGGCTTCCCTGGGGAGCCAGCAGAGGATGACAGTGCCAGATTCCAGCCCCTGGAAACTCAGTTATGGAAAGAAGGCAACACTGAACAGACACATCCTGTGCCTCAGAAACAAGGGCATTAGTGAATTAAAATAGACCCACCTGAGAGCTGCTTGTCCCAGCCTGAAAGGCACTGCTACCCTAAGCAGTTTGTAGCTGTGGGTCAGGAGCACCTGCACACTGCTGGGGGCAGCCAGGTGTGCCTGCAGACAGGTATGGGCTGGGGCACTGCCCAGAGCAGTGATCTGTGTCAGCTCAGAGCTCACTCTGTATGCTGGCCCCAACCCAGCTCCTCCAGGCCAGCACCCTCCCTACTCACTGCTCATGGCTGTTTGCTGCTCCTGCTGCCGAGTGAAGGACACGGGTTTGTCAGGCTAAACAGGTCAAAAGTGCCATTCATCTCCCTCAGCTGCTGGTCCCACGATTAAATGTGTAAACTTAATGGGTGGAGTACAAAGTTTGTCTGGCTTTTCTCCTGCTAATCGTAGTCTCCTTCCTCAGGGAAAGTGCCCTGCTTGTCCCTGGAAGGTGCAAGTGAGCCACATAGTCCCGAGCTGCCTTACAAAGGGGCAGCCACTTTCTGTGGTGGGTAGTGAAACACCTGGGCTGCTGTGGCATGGGGCACTGGGGGACTCTGTCATGCCTCTGGGAGCAGCCAGGCTTAAAAAAAATTGTGGCTTAAAAAAGGGATTGGGGATGGGGTTATAGAAGAAGAGCTTTGACTCAAACCGTTTGGATTTAAGTACAAGTAGCAGAGTTTTCTCCCACTCCCAGTTTCAGTCTCGAGTGTCCTTTACTCCTGGCATTAGATGTTTCACAGTTACTCCCTCTGCCACCTCCCCTTCTTCTGTCAGGGGTAAGGGGGCTCTTGTGTGCCACCACCAGCTGACAGGACAGGAGCTTTCTTTTTTGGCTGGATGATTCAGCTCCTCTCATACTTCAGTACTGCGTCCCCAAAAGCCTCTTACTGCCAGCAAGCGAAACACTGTGCTGCAGCTGTACCTTGGCATCCCCTCTCATGAAGTGATCCCTCCCTCCCTTCAACTTCACATCAGCCTTGGGAACGTGGTGTTAGTGGGAGACACCTAAACTGGAGGCTGTGAGCCATGGTTCAGAGCTCCTGCCTCTTGCTGCACACCCTGGCTTAGGCCCCTTTACTGGGACAGGTGACAAAGGAGGACTCCAGAGCTACACTGTCCCATTCCACCTTGTCACTTCACACCCACAACACTGGAAGTCAGCAGTGGGAAGTGAGATCCCACCACAGACAGTGGTGTTTGTCCATCTTGAGTGGAGCCTTTTTGTCACTCCACTGGAATAAGGTGGGACTGATCATCACAGTGCACAGATCAGAATAAATGCGTGCTAAAAATATACATTGTATTACCAATGCCATTAAAATTTTACTGTAAATTTTTGTTTGCACTATTAAAGATTTTTCCTTCTCCCTCCCCCAAGGCAATGGCAATAAGTGTGTGCATGTTTATTCATTCATCTGTCAAGTTACAACATACTTCTGGAAAAGTGTTCTGTATTTAATTGTAGCAAATAAGATAGGAGAGAGACAGCAGTGCCTTGAGCTTGGGCTGCTGTTACATTCTGCAATGATAAACTGGGAAGGATACTTTTTTGTACTTTCAACACTTATTAAATAAAACTGAGCTGCTTTACTTAGCTCATCCTTAGCTATTAAAATTTAAAGAGGGACTAGGCTGGAACCTCTTCCTACCCAAAAAGCACTTTATGTGCAGTTTATTTACTAAGACTGAACGAGGTAATGCTGTTATCAAAAAGCTCATGACCTGGTGTTGCTTTTGGAGTGTAATACGCAAGAGAATTAGGTCCAGGTCTCCTGTCTGTCCCCTGTGGGAGTTGACAGGGTGGTACTGGCAGGAATGAGAATGTTGGCTTGCAGTCAGGTGAAGTGGACAGGCAGGTGGGGGCAGTGCATTCTTCCATCTTGCTATGTTCCAAAAGCTCCATTTCAGAATTTCTCAGTTTCCTTTTCCTGGTAAAGAGTTTAACTATGTGCAAGAATATTTAGGTTCAGTAGCATCAAAATGTGTTTACTTTGTGTTCTTACTCATCTCTGTTTTTTAATGAACCCAGTTCATTTTCAGGAGAAGTGTGTTCTATGCTGATAGGGGCAGGGTACCAAAATACAGGCAAAATGACACCTCACTTAGGCGTTATTGAGGAAGGTAAAGCTTTATTTTGTGATCTATTGTATGTTACATTAACATGCTATGGATTTAGCCTTCATTAAGGTGATGAGTTATGATTCTTTCTTAGCTTAAAATCCCAGCAAATATGAGGAAAAGTAAGCAGTGAGAAGAGGAAATCTAATGAAAGTGTAAACACCTTTTAACCAAGTTCCTCTAAGTTGTGTCTGTAAACTTCTGGGAGGGTAAGCAGTGCCCTGGAATGATTTCATTCCACTGCATCATGCAAAGAGCAAGATTAAATGCAGCAGTACCTATTTTAACTAGATGATTCTTCGCTGTTTCACTCTCCTGCATTGGACAGCCCACAGACAGCCTCTCTTGTGCCTGTTTCATCACCAGGTCACCAGGGAGGGTCCAGGACGTTCTTTGTGGTCATCAATGCTCTCAGCTGTCACTCAGGGCCACTGACAGAAACATACCAAAGTCTTTCTTCCTACACGGTTGTAGATGTGACCTTGGCAGTGTTCACAGATTAGGTTGATGGGGGAGATGCCACCAAGGGGGAGGGTAAATTGTAAGGTAGTGGCAGTGTGTGGACAGCGACACAGTAATACTGTAAGTAGTGCATTTTCACCTCTTCTCCCTCATTACTGGCAGGTGTGTATCATCCAGGAGGGACTAAACAAAGGCTTACACAGTGACCGCAATGCTTACCATATCGAACAGCCCTTTTATGACTAATGACAGGAAGGTGAACTTCCAGGGCAGCCCACAAGAAGTTCTGCCTTTTCATGAGTTTGCCTTTTTCTCAAGTCTGTGAACAACATGAAAGGCCTCTAAAAATTCATTGAAGTCAATGTGGCCATCTTTGTTGTAGTCTATGCTGAGGACTAACTTGTCAAGGGAGTCATCATGTACATCAATGCCCAGGTGAGAGGTGAAGAGTCTCCACGTCTGGCCAAACTCCTCAAGAGAAATCAGACCTAAAGGAAACACACAGCAGGTTGCTTTTCCCAGTGCTGTTTCCCCTTCCTGCATAT